CTAAGGAGGTTACACCCAGCGAGTATAACGTAGCAACCCTTTCTTCTCAGATAGTGCTCAATGTACACGCCAATGGCTGCTAAGGGTGAATAAGAGACAGGAGAATTCGGCTTTTAGTAACACGCACGCTGCAAATATTTAGGAGCGAAACTCCTTATAGCGGCACCCGTTCGTCCCCCGTAGTATGTAACAAGTATAACATTTTGACCTCCAAGGTGGCGCCGGTGAGGGACTTCTGTGCGTTGTTGAAGAATAAAAAATAGTGCTTAGTGTACATGTCAATGGCTGCTAATGGGGAATGAGAGAAAGGAGCATTCGGCTTTTAGTTATCGCGCTGGCTGCGATCACCATTAGCAGCCATTGGCATGTACATTGAGCACTATCTGACAAGAAAGGATTGCTACGTTATACTCGCTGGGTGTGACCTCCTTAGCTTTAGAAAGGTTTAGCGAGCGTTGAGCCGCAGTGCCATGAATACAGTGAACTTGTATATACCATGAATGAACTCGAGGTGGTTGAAAAATGGAAGTAGATACGAAGCGCAAGCCGTAAGAAAGTAAAAGCCGAATTCTCCACCTCTCATTTCCCATTAGCAGCCATTGGAATGTACATTGAGCACTATCTGACTGAAAACGTTTGCTACGTCATACTCGCTGGGCGTAACCTCCTTGGTTTTTGAAATGTTTAGCGAGCGTTCGGCCGCAGTGCCATGAATACAGTGAACTAGTATATACCATGAACTCGAGGTGGTTAAAGGTGGGAAGTGGACCCGAAGCGCAAGCCGTAAGAAAGTGTGCGTGTGCCACCTCTCGCTTAGACCTTGGAATGTCCGCTGGATGGCGGCGCTTCTATATGGGGAATATATGATGAAAAGATGCGAGATGGTGGTACTTGGTATGTTGAATAGATGAACGAACGGACGCATAGATGCATGGATGGACGCATGAACGGACGCAGGGGCGTCTGCATTGATGAACGCAGGGACGGACGCACGAACAGACGCATGCACGGACGGGCTGATGGACGCATGGACGATCACACTGACGGACGCATGGACGGACGGAAGCAAGAACGAATGAACGGACGAATTCTTCGCCCCACTCTCTATCATTCACTCCGTAGATATGCTGCCATTTTTTTTTATTGTTCAACAACGCATAGAAGAAATCTCCCACCGGCACCACCTTGGAGGTCAAAATGTAAGACTGGTTACACACTACTACTACGACTACGAGGGACGAATGGGTGCCGCTATAAGGAGCTTCAGCCCTAAAAAAAAAAAAAAAAACTTCACCCCTAAAAAAAAGGCCCTCGTAGCAGTTGTAGTGTGTAACAAGTATAACATTTCGACGTACAAGGTGGTGCCAGTGAGAGATTTCTTCTGTGCGTTGTTGAACAATAAAAAATATTGCTCAATGTACATGCCAATGGTTGGTAATGGGGAATGAGAGACAGCAGCATTCGGCTTTTAGTTAACGCGCACGCGGCGATCCCCATTAGCAGCCATTGGCACGTACATTGAGCACTGTCTGACAAGAAAGGGTTGCTACGTTATACTCGCTGGGTGTAACCTCCTTAGTTTATAAAAGGTTTAGTGAGCGTTGAGCAGCAGTGCCATGATTACAATGAACTAGTATATACCATGAACTCGAGGTGTTAAAGGTGGGAAGTAGATACGAAGTGCAAGCCGTGCAAGCCGTAGAAAGTAAAAGCCGAAGTCTCCTGTCTCTCATTTCCCATTAGCAGCCATTGGCATCTACATTGAGCACTGTTGACAAGAAAGGGTTGCTACGTTATACTCGCTGGGTGTAACCTCCTTAGTTTATAAAAGGTTTAGTGAGCGTTGAGCAGCAGTGCCATGATTACAATGAACTAGTATATACCATGAACTCGAGGTGGTTAAAGGTGGGAAGTAGATACGAAGTGCAAGCCGTGCAAGCCGTAAGAAAGTAAAAGCCGAAGTCTCCTGTCTCTCATTTCCCATTAGCAGCCATTGGCATCTACATTGAGCACTGTTTGACAAGAAAGGGTAGCTACGTTATACTCGCTGGGTGTAACCTCCTTAGTTTTAAAAAGGTTTAGTGAGCGTTGAGCCGCAGTGCCATGAATACAATGAACTAGTATATACCATGAACTCGAGGTGGTTAAAGGTGGGAAGTAGATAGGAAGTGCAAGCCGTGCAAGCCGTAAGAAAGTAAAAGCCGATGTCTCCTGTCTCTCATTTCCCATTAGCAGCCATTGGCATCTACATTGAGCACTGTTTGACAAGAAAGGGTTGCTACGTTATACTCGCTGGGTGTAACCTCCTTAGTTTTAAAAAGGTTTAGTGAGCGTTGAGCCGCAGTGCCATGAATACAATGAACTAGTATATACCATGAACTCGAGGTGGTTAAAGGTGGGAAGTAGATAGGAAGTGCAAGCCGTGCAAGCCGTAAGAAAGTAAAAGCCGATGTCTCCTGTCTCTCATTTCCCATTAGCAGCCATTGGCATCTACATTGAGCACTGTTTGACAAGAAAGGGTTGCTACGTTATACTCGCTGGGTGTAACCTCCTTAGTTTTAAAAAGGTTTAGTGAGCGTTGAGCCGCAGTGCCATGAATACAATGAACTAGTATATACCATGAACTCGAGGTGGTTAAAGGTGGGAAGTAGATAGGAAGTGCAAGCCGTGCAAGCCGTAAGAAAGTAAAAGCCGAAGTCTCCTGTCTCTCATTTCCCATTAGCAGCCATTGGCATCTGCATTGAGCACTGTTTGACAAGAAAGGGTTGCTACGTTATACTCGCTGGGTGTAACCTCCTTAGTTTTAAAAAGGTTTAGTGAGCGTTGAGCCGCAGTGCCATGAATACAATGAACTAGTATATACCATGAACTCGAGGTGGTTAAAGGTGGGAAGTAGATAGGAAGTGCAAGCCGTGCAAGCCGTAAGAAAGTAAAAGCCGAAGTCTCCTGTCTCTCATTTCCCATTAGCAGCCATTGGCATCTACATTGAGCACTGTTTGACAAGAAAGGGTTGCTACGTTATACTCGCTGGGTGTAACCTCCTTAGTTTTAAAAAGGTTTAGTGAGCGTTGAGCCGCAGTGCCATGAATACAATGAACTAGTATATACCATGAACTCGAGGTGGTTAAAGGTGGGAAGTAGATAGGAAGTGCAAGCCGTGCAAGCCGTAAGAAAGGAAAAGCCGAAGTCTCCTGTCTCTCATTTCCCATTAGCAGCCATTGGAATGTACATTGAGCACTATCTGACAAGAAAAGCCGTAAGAAAGTGTGCGTGTGCCACCTCTCGCTTAGTCCTTGGAATGTCCGCTGGATGGCGGTGCTTCTATATGGGGCATATATGATGAAAAGATGCGAGATGGTGGTACTTGGAGTGCTGAATAGATGGACGAACGGACACACAGACAGATGCATGGATAGGCGCATGAACGGATGCAGGGGCGGATGCATGGAAGAACGCAGAGACGGACGCATGAACAGACGCACGCACGGAAGGGCTGATGGACGCATGGACGATCACACTGACGGACGCATGGACGGACGGAAGCAAGAACGAATGAACGGACGAATGTTTCGCCCCACTCTCCATCATTCACTCCGTGGATATGCTGCCAATTTTTGTTTAATGGTACTATCCAAACATCGCTTAATGTCCATCGTAGTCACCGATAGCCTGTTCAAGCGACCTTCGTGCGTGAGAAACCTCCGCTAATTCGTTCAACTTAGATTTGAGGGCACTCTAACCGCCGTGCGTTAGGCGGCAATCACGTGGTACTTTTTGAACTTCCCGCCCTTTAAACTAACTATTAAAAATAAAAATTACCCAGCATTGTTATATTACTGTAACTGGAAAGCTTTATTTCTGGATGAGAGCTACAAGTTTGGTATTGAAATTTTTTCTCTGGAGTCAGTATTCAAAAAGTTGTTCAAGCAATCTTTGTTAATTACCGTGCTTGGCGGATCACACAAAATATTTTGACGTGCTGCATACAGCTAAGAACAGTACTGTTCTAGCTGTAAAAGGCGTAGTTCTCATTTTTCAAAATTTTCATTGCTTGGTGCTTTTTAGCTGAAATACCCTGTATAGTAAGTACCAGCATTCGATATAAGATAGAAGGCGTTTACAGCAATGCTCAAGGTTGCATGTTTTATGTTTTATGTTTGTTTCTAGCGCCAGCACTGTGCCTGTATTGTCGCTCGTTCTGTTGCGGTCTCGTGATAAAACATTATTAACTTGTCATTAAAGCACAATGAACAGCACCATAGAGCACTGAATATTTGTGGATCAGTATGAAATGAGTCGCTTTACTCTATGGAAGTGGTGCGTAGAAACGAAAATCTTCATTCCTTTGTATTACCCGCACAATTCTTGACCAAAGCTATTGGTGGGCGGACGATAATGTTGAATAGAAGATAACATTCGCTGCGTACTGCCGCAATGTTTTACGTAAACAGTGGTGGTTGTCACTCAAAAAGCACACCTCAAGCTCTGGCTTCAATTCGTGACAACATGACTTTTTATAGTGACGCTTACAGGCAAGATATGCACACATCGGCATAATCAGTTAAATTGTGGAGGAGCTTCTGTCCTCTACCGATCCATTATAAAGGAGAGTAGCGCCACGCATTGAATTGGGCTAAATCTCTGGCTAGGGAGCATGTAGGGCCGAAGATATATAACCTTCAGGGTTGTATAAAAGCATATGTGACAAAACGAAGCCGGTAATTATACCAACATTGCTGTTTTGCCATGACGCCAGCATCCACCCACTTTCTTGGAAAGTAGGACCAAAAGTAGACCACCTTAAATCTTTATATTGTTTGATATGTCGTAATGCATTACAGACTGTGCGCCTTCTACTTTATTTGATATATTATGAGAATGAGGGTTTTGTTCTTCAGCATACATTAGCGAGCTTTCAGTATTACTTATACATGTGACAGAGCAATATCAGTTACCAATGTCTTAGAAAAGTAGCTTATTCCTGAATTCTTTATATTTACCTCCGAGGTTTGTCTTGCAGCTGTCCCAAAAGTGGACGTCGTCAATGGCTATGTAACCATTCTTGTTAGGTACTGTGTGTTCTCCCATGAAGGCAACCTGCAAATCATTTGGAAAAGCAACATTTTCAATCAATAAGTCAGTTGTTTTTTTCTGCCCTGCAAATAGCATTTTTTTCGCCTTTTATTGATTGATATGTGGGGTTTAACGTCCCAAATATGATTATGAGAGACGCCGTAGTGGAGGGCTCCGGAAATTTCGAACACCCGGAGTTCTTTAACGTGCACCAAAATCTGAGCTCACGGGCCTACAACATTTCCGCATCCATCGGAAATGCAGCCGCCAAAGCCGTGATACGATCCCGGGACCTGCGGGTCAGCAGCCGAGTACCTCAGCCACTAGACCACCACAGCAGGGCTTTCAACATTTATTTATCAAAGTGCAGTCCCAGAGAACGTAGCGAATTCTAGACTGTGGCTGCTTTTAGGCTTCTAATTGTTGGGAACGATTTTTAATTCCATATGCATATCAAAATAAACAGGGTTTTATGGGATGCATCAAAGTTTGGATGCCATATGTGTTGAAACTACAAAGTTAGAATTGCTCTTATGATCCAGTGCTGTTAGCGTGAAGAGGAGGAATGCTTGACGTGTGTAATAATAACAAAACAATTCTTACATCACTTCATCTTGCATCACATGTCAGTACGGTCAAATGAAAGGCTTAAATAAGAGCACCCCTTATTTATCTCCTTCATTTAACCGTGTTGACAAGTAATTCAAGATGAATTAGCACACGCCTTAGAAAAGAAGCCACGTGTAATAATAAGCATGAAGATGACAAGTTCACCGAAGCCATCACTTCTCTTTGGACTGTGCGAAAAATGTATTTCTGTTGCACAAGTTTGCAGCAGGAATGCGTTTTATGGAGATATTCACAAACAATATAAATAATTCTTAAAAGCTTCGGGCAAACATTTTAATAGCGGAGGTGCTAAAGCTGGTGTTAGTAATTGGTGGCCGCAGAAAAGATACTGCTAGGTATGCTTAACACGAATTGGGCAAGCCCCGCTCTAGCAACTACAGCAGGTGTGAGCAATAACCACAAACTTCACTCCGCGACATGGAGCCCGCGAAAGATGGGAAAGAAACAAAAAATAGAGACCAAAGGTAAGGAAATTTGAAATGCAGAACGAAAGAGAGAAAAAAAAAACGTAGTTAGAATTGCTAACTTGGAAGTAGTAAGCGCTTATCACATTTGCTACCTAATTAGTAAATGAATCTAGTAACTGCCACTAGTAAGTTCAAGTAACTACCAGTTGGTGAATTCATTACCATGGCACTGTCTACTCACAGTTGCCACCTAGTGGGAACCAAGGAAAGACGTGTGCATTTAAGGGCTACTTTTTTGTTAGACCAAATAATAATGAAATATAGCAGACAGTCATGCTAATGAAAGTATAGAGGACCTTATTAAATTGTAATTGTAATGAAAAAATGAAAAACAAGAAGTTGACGAAAAGATAACTAGCAGCGGGCAGAGAACGAACCAGCAACCTTCGAACAATGCGTCCAATGCTCTACCAGCTGAGCTACCACGGCGGCTATACCACCGTCTGCTTTAGTGGGTATTAAGTGCATTAAACGTGAGATCGTCAGTAACCGCTGGCAGTATAGCCATGGGAGCGAGTGCGGAACACTTTTTATTTACCTGTTTGGGGGCACATGGCCCGTCAACCTATTACGAGCTGGCAGCTCATTAATGATCTCTCGTAAACAACGAGAAGGCAAGAATCCTAAACTAGAAGGAGACCGTCGCTATGAATGAAGCAAATGAGTTTTCACTTGAGCGCTCATTTTATTTGTTAGACACAATGTCAAAGAAATCTAAGAGACAATGATGCTTAGAAAAGTGTAGCGGATGTTACCAGAAGTAATTGAAATGTAATTTTGACCAGTGTTACACACTAAAAATATAAAAAAAAGGAGAGCCAGACGAACACGTAATAAAAAAATTCTGGCTTGATCGCTCTTGTTGTCCTAATGAAGAAAACAACATACAGACTTGAACACAACTGTCTCCACCATAGTAACGAATCACGCCGCGTATGAAAACTAACCTAATAGAAAAAAAAGTTGTGTTTGAAACACGTAACTGGTTTTACAGGAGAAGTGTCATTTTTTAATGTAGTCACTAGGATTTTATTGGCTGTCTCATATGCTGGCGTAGCTTGAACTTAAAGTTATGGCATAATGTATTTTGTTTCTTCGAAATTTTTCAGTAAAATTTTACTTTATCGTGTTTTCTGTTTATTGCGTTTACCTGAACCGTAGCCCAGTTGCAGGGCTGTTACAAAATAAAGGTTAAACTGAAAATGAAATTTTATAAATATATTTAGTGAATTTTAGAACCAGGATATTTTGCTTATCAAAGTTTGTTAAAAACAGCTTGTTAAAGCTACAAGACTCACGAAAGGCGGTCATTTCTTGCGGAGTTATGAACTTGATTCCCAAGTCCCCGGATCCGCAAATCCGCGGTGAGCTGACATAAACACTCGCGACACAGGTGTCCGCTGCACATACGCGCACCCTCATTATCGCGCACTCAACGCCCGCACAGATTAGGTCCGACACGTTGATCAGGGTCGGCGCTCGCTTTTCAGAAATGTAATTTGCCAAATCACGACAAAAAGTCGCTATTTTCTTCAAAGTTTGCTCAAAAGTCACCACTAAACTTATGTGTGGCGGCCCAAGATTGGTAACTGTGTATAGCCCTTAAAGTACAATACCATCCGGAACCCAAAAGATATTGTCTTTTTTTTATGCCAGTCGAATCACCCTCTTCACCATGGAAGGGCTCACTGGGCTTAGAGTCCTATCATCCACTTCACCCTGAGAGCACCTGAGAAAGGGCATGCATGCACCACCATGGTCCCTGAAGACTAGCGCCTCATAACAAGAGTTTGTTGTGGCTGCAGCTGTATCAAATACAGGGCGAAACGGTCTCTACATCTATAGAGAGGGACGGTGTACGGGGTTTCCTGCAGATTTTTGAGAATACACATCATTGTAGTGCAATATTGTGTCCGATAATAGAACAACTTAATTGCAAATCAACACAAATAAGTTTGAAAGGATGCGTAACCGTGGCGATGCCCGCACCCAGCTTCATTGTAAGCCACGCTTACGATACACATTCGCCTCAGTGCAGGTTCTGAACGCTGGCGAAAGAAATCGACTTCTTGGCTGACCCAAAAAGCTGTTAACCAAGTTAGCCTTTACATACGAAATAAAGGAGTACTACTGTAGTGAAAATGTCGACAAGCTATCGGGGAAAGATAGAGGTGTGGTCAGAACACGTGGCCTAACCTTCACCTAGCCACTTGAGAAGCGATACATTGAAGAAGCCCAAAGCTTTGCAAGCACCTAAAATACTTATACCGCCACTTCGCGGCACGTGCAGCACTCCGTTGACGTAAATTTTGCTGGAAGGTTGCTAGCACGCACGCACCAGTATATGCCAGTGGCTCAAGGATATAGGTGAATGGAGAAACAAGACAGAAGTACTGAATGGCGTGTTGAGTGCGTATTCTTCTAAAGGCTCTAACTCTATGAAAAAAAATGAAACTATTGTAAAGACACTGACTATAGAATGCATAACTAAGTCTAAACCCAAGACAAAAATTGCCTAGAAATTGCCATGTCACCGTTCATAACTCTATGTCACCACGGGCCTCCCAAATTCGCCAAATTGGCGAAAAGTAGTGGCAACCCTGACGTTGATGGCTTCTGCGGAAGGCGCGCGTGAACCTAGGTAGACACCCTCGATGGCCCCGGACGATGCGCCGTGTTCACACAATCAGTAATACATGAGCAAACACAATGCTCTCCCACAGTAGAGAGCCTATATCGCTCTAAAGCGTTCGTAAATTATTCTAAACACACTTCCTGTGTTGTTTCTTCTCCGGTGAAAGTCTCATAACTGGGATGGCTTTCTGCTCTCTTATATCAAGCTGACGCACGCGCTACACTCACAGGTTGTATTAGCGCCACGGTATTCCACGTAGCCTGTGAGGTTGAGCTCCCCTTTACGAACTCGCGTCTCCTGAAATGCAAGGATGTTAAGGTCGCGTTGGCGCAGGGAGCGGGTAAGCTCAGAATGACGGCGGCGGAAGGAACGGACGTTTCTTTGGAGTATCCACAGCCATGGTATTCTTCAACGTACTAGCCATGGCACGTGAGGTATTGATGTGCGGTCAAAGCCGCGACACATGTGTCGCGCGTCACAGGGTCACAAGCCACTTTGTTAATGAGTACACGAAGAGCTGCGGTCAAAGTTTTTAGATAGTGTAAAAACGTTGGCGGCGGCTCGCGCCGCCATCACGACGTCCATTTGGTCGCCAGTGAGGGCTGGTGGAGATGATGTCTTCATGGCAGTTTGCGATGGTGCAGGACCATTGTTGCTCTGCAGTGTGTCTCGGAAGGAGTGCGTTGCGGCCGATGCCGGGCCGCCGATCGGCGATGTTTTCGCTGAAGCGTTGTGCGCTGGAGCGCCTCGCACTGCGTGATTTTCTCGTTCGACGTGGCAACGATGAAGGCTTTCATTCCTGCTGCCAGGATGAACATCTCGGCTCGTTGGCAGCGTGATTGCCTCGCCAGTTGAGCCGGAAAGACATATTCAAATGAAAGCGAGCACGGGGTCGGACTCGCTTGGCAGGTTACGATTTTTTTTATGCTCCAAGATAACTTTTCGCTGAGGGACTCTTCTGATGAGTTGGCTGAGCAAGCTACATTTTGCGAGCCGATGTACTCCAGCTAGAGTCCGCGCGCACGTGAACTAAATTTGGCGATGTTTTTTTTTTGCTTTATTTTCTGTTTCCAGGCATTATGTACATGAACGATGACATAAAGGTCACGAGAACAAGTAGTGCCAGCTCTGTTGAATAGACAGCAATTTTGAAATTCCTTGAGAGCTGTCAAGGGTTCCACTATCGACAACCACTCAGGCACAGACTACAGTGTTTTCTGAAGTTTCACAAGATTTAGGGGCAAAGCTTCTTATAGCGGCATCCGTTCGTCCCTCGTAGTCGTAGTAGTAGT